CTGTTTATGGGGTTTGAAATGGGTCTGGGGGTCAGTACAGTCGAGGTCTTGGAACATCCCTATTTGTTACATTGTAAAGTGAGTTTCCTTTATGTGAATTTGAGTAATGCACCATTTTCCACAAATGCATGCACAGCATAAAGCGAAGGAAATCTGTATCCTTATGTGTGGCTACACAGGATCTCCATGCACCCTCAGAGGAGCAATGCACAGCAGTGTGTAGTTATAACAAACCCCAATCTCCTCAGAGAACTTGATGAGGCACAATGCAAAGGGACAAGTGAACATCACCTCCTCTCCAGTGAGCTGTAAGTGCACAATAAAAAACAAACCAAAAATAAAACACACACTGTGAAGCATAGCCAGGTTTTATAAAAGCAATACAAGACAACCGATTACACTGGATACCTACAAAGTCTGAACCTCCACTGGTGCATTAGAGTTCTTTTAAACATACAGATAAAAGAAGATCACACCCACATTCTAACATGCAAGTTAGCACCGGTTCTAAACCAACCTGTTATGAAGTACGTGCCAGCCACCTCCTACCTGTTATACGAGGAAGACAGTGGTTAAGGTATGATACTAAGAATCACAAGGCCTCTTTTTCATTCTCAGTTCTGCTCCTGAGTCACTATAACATCATGGGCAATCCCTTGGCATGTCTGCTTTCTCATTTGCAAGAAGTGGATAACAATCCTTACAGGGAATAGGGTGCAAGGATATGGCATCCTCAGAGGAAAGGTACCAGAAAAAGTAAAACCATCATCAAATGAAGTTTTTATATCAAATCAACAATAAGGCAGGGTCTCTAATTACACCAGCCTTTTGATTCCTTATAGATATACATTATTGCCAGTGCTCTGCTTGTGGTATCACCATAAAAGTTTTGTGGAAAGATACCTTTGCCTGCATCCCCTTTATATTTCATGGCTGGAAAACACACTATCCTCTACACAGGCCTCTCCTCAGGTCCAGTAAGCACTGATTAATGACCTCCACTTGCAAAGGAGGCTACTTACCTTAACCATGAAATAATGAATGCTATTGATCCAACAAGCTACTGCTATAGAGTGTTATTGATCACCCAATCTTTGGTTAAAATGGTCCTCATTTAGCAATTTCACTGTCGCAAACACCTGGAGCAAAGCATGCTTATAATTAAATAGTTCGGGGAAGTTAAAGCGAGAGGTGATGGACAGAGATCTCAGCTTTCCGCCATTTATTCCTGCTCCTGAGCTATTGTTTGTGTCAGCAGGGATATTGATTTTCTATAAAAATAAGAAAACAAGAGGCACCAAGGGGCTGCAGAAGGTCAGGCTGGGCTGGAGAAGGAGGGGGAGGCTGAACACTCTATCTCTGTCACTTGCCTTCCAGGAGAAGGGAATTTTTTCTTTCCTGAGAGATTGGCCTCTAATACATCAGCTTAGCCAGGCTCCGGGCAGTAACCAAAGCAAGGCCCTTACAAAAAGGAAAGGAACTAATCTACAAACAGAGAAGTAACTGGTTCCTCTGCAAGTCCCTAATACATCAAGGTTAGGCTGGGAGGCACCTCCTTCCTGGCTAGTAAACTTAGCTCAATGCCCAATTTGGAATAGAGTGATATAAAACAAACCTTACTAGACACCAGCTTACCTCAAAGTAGAAAGAGCAGGTGGTACATCTTCTGTGAACTGAGTGGAGGCTATTCAGAGGTATTTTCCAGTAGCCCTTGGACTGAAGTTCGTTGTGCCCATTACAATCACATTAAGCAAAAACACATTTGAAGCGCGTGTAGTTCAGATGAATGAGAGTCTCCATTTACTGTCTGTCAGCAACCCACTTGGGGGAGAGCATTCCAAAACAAGGAGGGGTTGGTGTTACTTCTAAAGGTCTTAGCAACTAACTGTCACCATTCTTGTACCAGCACAGAACCCCGAGGTGAAGGACAAATTAATCCACTGCTTCTCTCACCTCTTGGGCTCCTCCAGCTTTTGCCTATCAGTTCTCAAATCTCTTCCATGCTTATTTTAGATCTGTCATTTGCTCCCTTCCCCTATCTCTCTCTCCTCCTCTCAATTTCAGTCTTTTATCTTCCCCTGGCTGTTACAAGATATTCCGTACTTCCTGATGCGTGTCTGCATGGGTACATGACTATGTGTGTGGAGGGGATGTTCCAAAATTCTCAGTTGCCCCCAACCTATTTTAACAATGATACTATCTCACATCTTTCTCCAAAAAAATGGATGGGTCTGGCCCTGGAGGCAGTCTATCAAAGTTGCTTCCTCATTAAGGTCCTGAACTAAGCTTACTACATCAATGGGAGCCTCTCCATTGAAAGAACTGTTTGAAGTTAGACCCTTGTGGCTTCTAGAAAATGATACAAGCGCTGAACTTTCTTGCTCCACAAAGATTCTAACTGCAGTTAACCCAGAGGGAAAGAGGTGCAGGGGAACAGCAACACTGAATGATACAAAACGTTGTTCACCTAGTGGACAATGGTGCTGTTTTTCCGGTACTCCCAATTCTCCACATGCATGAGATGCAAGGAACCCAATTCAATCCCAAACTGCTTTACAATATCCACCAGACGACTGGTTCTGCTTCCTAGCCTCACTCGCTTTTGTCAGACAATTCCTATTGCCAGTTTGTGACCAGGTCCTTGTTTCTATTTTCACCACTTCCCCAGTATGCACCCTTGCCACAAGCTATACAAGGCATTTCCCTTGTGGTACCAAAGGAAGCAGCTACAGCAGAATGAAAGTGATATAAACAGAGCCCACAGACCCTGGTACTTCTAGAAGCAAGGTGTTATAGAATGATAGAGGCCAAAAAACAATCCTTCACTGTTGTGAAGAGCAATCTACAGAGAGGAAATCGATGGATTATTTCTCCCTTTAACTCAGTGATTCTAAACCAGGGTGACATGACACCCTGAGGTGCTGCAAGATCTTTTTAAGGGTGCTGTAGAATGTTGCCCAATAAGAGCACCATTAGGTATGTAAACACCTACATTTGATTCATAAGATGAACCCAGAGATTCCAAATAAGAATCCACAGCTTCAAAAACATTCTGAGCTGTGTTCTGAGTTCTGTGCAGCAGAAGAATTTCTCTAGTTTTTTTGACTACAGAAAAATACAAGTGAAGGCTAAGAGCTGGCATTTTCCAAGGAGTGCCCTGAGTCATACAAGGTTCAAATCTACTGTTCTAACTCTACCACATCTACTGAGCTGCAGGCAAGACCATGCAAGTGGGGGTTAAGAGGATCCAACACTTGGACCGCTATTTCCCAGAGAGTTCCAAGGATTTGGCAGCAGATGGCAAATGTCATTTTACAGAGAAACATGCATAATAATTAGCCTTAGAGCAAGGGACCCGCTATGACAGAACAAAACAATTACCTGTCACACTCAACAGGTGATAGACCCAAACAAAGCCATGCATTTGTTCTCTCAATAGCTAAATGAAAAGAGATGCTTGGTAAAAGCTAGTTGTTTTAAGTTCAGTTTAGCCACAGTGGAATTCAGTTTAGCAAAGACACTACACCTCAAGAAGCAACATTTATTACTACTTCATGAAATGAGAGCATCCATTTGCCTGCTGTCAGTAGTGGTCAATCTTCAGGTGATACTCTGCACATTGCACTCCAGGACTACCGAATAACAGCACTGTCCAGAGAGAACTATCCTTTCTTCTGTCAGTAAATCATGATCTTGATCTATGGCTTTGCTACTACTATAACTTGCAGTTAATATTCACTAAATGGAACAAACCAGAGGCCACCAAAAGCTAAATATGTGCAAAAAATAGCAGATGTCCTACTGACAGAAGTCAGGGATATACTTGAACATGATCACACTCACAAACATCTGGCTCACTGCCTGACAAGCCACAATCTTCCAGAGCACTTAAGCTAACCAGTCCAAAGGAGCGGAGAGCAGCATGTTTCCAACTACAGGCATACACCTCCAGCCTGAGGTTCTGCTGAAAATTCCCTCAAGCTACAAAAGACCACACTCTTCTCCAGACCTTTCCCCATTAGTGCCAATTCAGTTTCGTTTAGTTTCTACTTCATTCTCAACATCCTCCTAGTTAGCCTATTAGAGTCTTGGTTTCCAAAAAAGCTCCCTGTATAGCAGAGGTATTTTTGCTTCAACATATTATCATAAACAGCATTTTAACATAGGTGCCATGCAACTGCCTTTAATAATCTCACAATTTCTAAAAAAATCCCAACAGCAAAGTAATAAAAGTGTATCTGAGAAACATAATAGTTCTCTCTCTTTCTTCTCCCCACCACTACTCTTCTACAAACAATGAGAAATGCTCCAGCTTCTCAACCACCTAGAACAACTTATTTTTGGGGAAGCTGGATTAGAAAAGCATGAAAATATTTCTACCTCTCATGAAAACCGCGGGGGGGGGGGGCAGGAATTCACAAATGCAAACAAAACACTATTCTGATCATGGCACATCAAGTACCTGCAGGCAGAGTTACCTGGTCATTAGAGAAAATCTGCCCTGCTTTCCTTCAAAATTTCTAATAAGCCCCTGGAAATCCGAAACTGAAGTCCAGGTCATTGGTCACGTACTGGTTTATCAACATGGATTTACATAATAAACGTAGGGCCACCAGCCTGTGGACACAGGCAGGAGATTCATCACCTGGAGTTACGGACATATCAGTTTGTCAGGTTTTTGGGAGGCAGTTTATCACCACAGGGATAACTGCAAGAATTGGGCGATCTGACCTTTGCAAAGGTTTTTGTGTTTTTTTATTTCCTTAAGATAAAACTTCACTGAATTACATTTGAGAGGAAACTACCTCAAACCATCTGTAGCACAGGAAAGGAATGGCCTAGGGAATCTCACCATTCAGACATGTTTTCATCGGAGCCCTGTTTCTGTTCATCCGCCTCACATTCCATCCTCTCCTTTCTTCCTCCTTTGTTGAGGAAGGGCCTGTTCTCCGCTGACTCGCAAAGGCCGTGGCTGGATGACGTCCAGGGGGCATTCTCTTTCCAACGCGACAGGCGCTGCTTCTTAGCTGACTTGAACCTGCAGCCCCGCTCATAACTCCACTCTGATACCCTGAGTTTCTGCTGGAGGCTAGCAGCCACCTCTGAGGTCATGCGCTTGACCTTCCGGCGACGTCTCAGGGGTCGGCAAGGCGCGTTCTCTGTAAAGGAGTCTGACTCGTGCCAAGAGTGCTGCTTGCTTCTTAGGGTGGCACTCAGAGCAGGGTGACGTTTGGCCACTGCCATATCATCTGAGTCACTGAAGTTGGCAGTCAGGACCTCACGACAATCCTTCATGGCTTCATCCAAGCTTGACTCTGAGGCCTCACTGTAACAACAGGCATGCTCCGCCTGATGCGTGAAGTCTGAGCGCCGTTTACGACCCCTCCTCTTCCTAAGCTGACGCCGCTGCTGCCGCGGGCTCAGAGCCATCTCTTCCCACAGCTCGTCCAGCTTGTTTTGTTCCGAAGTCTGCTCCAAGGCCGAGGCCAAGTCATGTACCAGCTCATCCATGGGCAATGTCTGCTAAGACAGGAGGGCAAACAATCAGCCCCAACCATCAACACTTCCAACACTATGTTTTACATCCACGTAGGCCAGAATCTTCACCACAGCAGCAACCGGCCAGACAGACTTACCTTGGTTAATGCAGCCTGAGGGGATAAACAGGTGCTGCTGCCTGCATGACTGCTCACTTTCCCCCTACACAACTTCCCCTTCCTCACCCAAGCAGCAAAGAGGTTCTTCTGCTGTAGGGGCTGAAGTCAAGGCCTTATGCCTGACAGAGACACCAGACAGTATTTTCTGCCTTGGACCAAAGCTGGGCATAGTGCTTCAACAGGGACAAGGCCTGCAGCCAGATCGCTCTCTGGGGTGTTTTGTCAGACCTTACAAGCAGAAAACCACTCAGTTTCGGTGCCTCAGAGACTGGGCAGCAGACATACAAGCCCAAATGCCAGTGCCAAGGTGACTGTGCCACATAGTGCAAAGGGTTTGCTCCAGGAATGGTCTGGTAAGCAGTACACAAAACCAAACCCCAAACCATAAGGGCCACAGAGACCCTGTTTTTACTTCAATAACAAGGCGGGGGAGTGTCTTAGCACCATGTCCTACAGCAACACGCACCTTGCTGTGCTCCCCGAGCAGCTTCTGCCGGCCAGGGCGGGCTTTTCTATCTCCTACCTGCACCCGGCGCGCGCCATCACCCCGCACCTGCCCCCTGGCCACCCCTGCTCCGCCTGCCAGGCCCCGAGCGCCCGCAGCCCCAGCCCCAGCCCCGGAGGCGCTCCCCTCCGGCGGCGCCTCCCCGGGGCCGCACAGCAAGGGGCAAGGGCGGCGCCGCTCCGCTGACCATAGGGAGCGCGGAGCCCTCCCAGCGGGGGAGGCGGGCCAGGCGCGGAGCTGCTTCCCCCGAGCCACCCCAGGCCTAACCCATTCCCACCTACCCGCCAACGCCTGCTGCAGCTCCCCAGGAGTCCGCTCCGTACGGTACTTCCGGTCCGCGCTCACTTCCGCCCCGCACGACGCTCCACCCCTCCCTCCTCTGGGTGGCCCCCGCTTCCGCTGCACACTGGTGGGAGAAGGAGGGGGAGGGAGGATGCGGGGAGCGGCGTTAGGCACCTTCCCAACACTCCTCCCCCACCGCGCGGCCGCCTCGGGGTGCAGCTACGGCTCCACGCCCCTTCCCGCCCCGGGACCAGCTTCAGCCTCCAGGCAGTCCCGCACGCGGGCACCTGCCCGGGTCCACCCCCCTCACAGCTGCACCGGGCTTCTGGGATCTTGGGGCGCAGCATCACCCGGCCGACGGCTGCACCTGCTTTTCCCGAAGCTGAAAAAGGAAAGAAAGGAAGCCGAGCTCAGACGCCAGGGCTCGGGCTGCGTTATTCCGCTTCGGACTGAAGCAAGACAAACAGCCTCATTGGAAGAGTTCAGGACGGCCCCGGGGCTGGGAGACAGGAGCTCTGTTGAAGGAGCAGGGCCGGGAGCGCAGCACGGCCGCGCACAGGGTAGCTCGGCAGGCGGCACATCTAGGCCAGCACTTCCCAAACCTTTCCTCAGCATGATCCCTATTCACGGCCTCGTCTCCGCAGCATGGCCCCTCACTCCCAACCCACAGCCGCCACCCCGCCGCCCCATCTGCTGATGTTGTGACCCACAATTTGGGAATCGCTTATCTAGGCCACTTAAAAGGACAGAGGATCCTTAATAGCCCTTGAATGAAGAGTTTAGAGGGGATCGGGTAGATGACAGCCAAGAAGTTAAGTAACTCCCTTGGCACCGCCTGGCTGGCAATGCAGCTGCCACTGCCAGGCAGCTGGCTTTAAGCTTTGGCTGGAGCAGGAATCAATGGGCGATGCACATGCACCAGCACACCCCCTGGCTCCACCCTTGGCTACAGGTCACGTGCCCAGAGCCTGCCTTCCCTGCCCTTTGCAGTGCCAGGGGTTCCCCGATACTTCTTACCTTCCCCACTCCCTGTGTAGGGCCAGGTGCTGTGTCTGGCCTCTGCAGGCTCCTGCCTTATTTGTAGCGACCTACTTAAATTGTTGAAAGACAAAGGGGTTTTTGTGGCCCGCTTGCAGCAGAGGGTCAATTTTGCAGCCATTTCATAGCAACCCTATCCCTTGCTGCTGATTGGCCAAGAGGCAAAACACATATAAGTACACAGTAAATTCTGTAGAAATATCATACAAGTTATGGTATTATAAATTGAAATATTAAATTTAAATCTTTGTTTTCTGGTAAGCATTTTTTGGGGTTAATTCTATGGGAAATCGTCCCAGTGCCATGTTTTGCCGTTTCCAAGAAAATCATGATTTAAGTAGGTCACTGCTTTTGTTTTCTACTCTCTACCTGATTAAAACAGATCTGTAGAAAGAGAAACTACTACATAGTACTGCAATTAAAGGCTGCATAAGAATATGTGGTGGAAAGAAGCTGGTGTGGGCAGCGTTAGTTTGGAAATTTGTTAGCAAGCAGTAGCCTGGAGACCGGTGGAAGCCTGTTCTCTACACCACTTTTTCCAGGTGTTGCAATATCCCAAGTGAGGGGCTCCACTCCCTCCCTTAGGAAACTGTCCCATACCATAAATGCAGGAACTGGCATACCTGATCAGCTGAGTGGCCTGTCTAGTCTGCTTATCTTGTTTGAACTGTGACTAGTACCAGGTGCTAAAATTGTGTGTGATGTTCACCCTAAATCTTTCTTAATTTTCCCCTTTTAGTCTTAGACCCTTCTGAAGCACCCAAAACAAATCCACTGCCTCCTTACCTCCATCCTTTAAAGCAGTGTTGAGACAATGCCCAACAACATCAATTAGTCTTCCCATTGATTTCCATAGGTGATAAGGTAGGGAACAATTCCCTTCTCCTGGTGCCGGTACTGGAGACAATCTGGATGAAACTGTATCGCAGTCACAGCTGGACGGGGGCCTACGGAATCTCAGGGAAGCTCATTTTTTTCTGTAAAGGACAGAAACAAATAAGGTACTGAAGGTGCTCCAGTATAGAAAGGGCATGGTCTGTGATTCTGTAGCAGAGGCTAATTGAGTGCTAGTGACTGCCACTGTTTCCCTTCTAGTATCTTGCAGTTGTCTGTTCCTTAACAATCACACTCTCCCTGCCACTGCACAGCAGTCTAGGACTGCTCTGAAAGGTGGCATGCTATAACAATATATATAATCCATTAAGAGCAGCACACTTCTTAGGTCAAGTACAAGGAAAGGCTGCTATTTCTACAAGAAGGACCAGTCTTTATCTTCATCTTTTCTAATCGACTGCCCTGTACCCCAGTTTGACCGTCAGAAGTTGTCAGAAGAATGGGAGCTGTATATGAGGACTTTTATAAACCCAGATGGTAATGGGCCTGCACCTCCCAGCACTTGGCTCTGTCTCTAATCTTCAGTCATTGTCTGATTTAGTGGGTGTATATTATCAGTCAGTGCAGGTTGTTTATAAGTTTTTATTTATGGAAATATTGGTGACTAGCTTGTCTGACCTCTGGCCCCGCTTTCGAATGAAAGTAACATCTCCCCTATTGAAGGCCTGACATTCCTGTATTGATTTTCTGAAGATTTGTGCTTTGGTAGGTCCTGTTGTCAAAGTCTCAGCTCTTGTCTCTACAGATCATTAGCTGCTAATAGAAGCTGTGTGTTCACCGCCCATGCTATATGCTTAGTCTCTTGTTGCTTGGTTGCTTTTTGGTTTTGTTTTTTAATCATGAAATTCACATAGCTAGTGAAATGGGCACCAACTCTGCCACTGATTGAAAACCCTTAGTTTAATCATTTCCATCCATATTTCTGCCTAAGCCCTTTATATCATTTTTCTGTCTTGTTTGGGTTTCCAGCTCCTGCAAATTTCTTTAATGTATCATTCCTGTAGACCAGTGCTATAAGACAATAAAAATACACCTGACCTGCAGCACTGTGGCACCTCCACAACCCAGTTCTTTACCATTTAGCATTCCCTTCTGTCCTTCTGCCAGTTTTTAATCTATGTGGCAGTGTTCATATTCAAGCCAATGTCAATTCATTTTTCAAGTAACATTTTATGAGGCACTGTATCAAATGCTTTGCTGCAGTCCAGCTATATTACATTTATGGCATTCTCTTCATCTACTAATTTTGTAAATTCAATCAGAGAAAGCAATCAGGTTTGTCTGACATGATTTGTTTTTTATAAATCTAGGCTGCTGTTTACTGCTTATAGTTCTATTATCCTCCTGATTTTTACATTTTTTCTCTCTTATTACCTAGTCCATTATTTTACTAGGATTGGTAATGACCATTTTTAAGAATGGTTCCCCATTTGTTTTTTTCCACCCTCTGGCACCCTGCTTCAGAAATAACCACAGGTAGTTCATTGAGTTTGTTAAATGATTCCCCTATCATCCTAGAATGAATGCCATCTAGACACACTACAAAGTAGGACAGAGTGAAACCTGAAAGACTAGTTCAGAAAAACATAAGATTTTGTAGGCCAGCCTTCTTTGTCATACGCTCTCTACTCATGGTGGTGTGCAATTTCTTTAAGCTTTTACTTGTTTTCTTATCAGTTTTTTTTAAACTTTCATTATTTTCTGATTGTCTGCCTTACATTTTCTTATTTTTCTTGTTGAAAGAAGTTTTTGGTTTTTTGTTTTGTTTTTAAGAAAAATCACTTCTGGACCACCCCACCCTGCCTGGCACACTTTATTTATCAATAGACTTAAACTTTCTACCTAGATTCATTTGAAAATTTGTATTCTGTTTTTAACCTTTTGATGGCAGTAACTCATTCTGCTTTACTGCAGCACATTGCCTTCCCCTGCCACTCTTCCATTTCTCATACAGAAATCTTCCCATCTTATCCTCAGATCTTAGTGCCAACTCCTCCTAAAATCCAATCCTGTTACATAGCTGCAATCCTTTCTTCATGAGTCAGGTAATAAAACCACTACTAAATGTGTCTGGGTTTAGGAAGGAACTTCTCTTATGGGAAAAGTTATTCTACGAGCATTTATCTCAGAGCTTCATGCACCTTCAAACATCTGAGATTACCCACTAATCCAGGTAGACTGGAGGACTAGATAGACTGTGTGAAAAAAGTCCTGTATGCACAAGACCTGGGGAGAGGACTACAGCAGATGCTCACAGAGGTGTAACAGGGCAGTTCTGTGCCCTGGGCAGTGGCAATACATACAGCTATAGCAGTGGCTGGGCTGTTATTCGCAGCTAGTC